GCGAGACAGCTGCCGCAATGGCAGCTGCTTCCATCGTCTTTCGGAACAGCAACCCTGCTTATGCCAAAGAGCTCCTCACTCATGCCTACCAGGTAACTAAACAATTTAATTTTAAGAGTAACATAAAGTAAAAATGATATTATATAATCACTTTTACTTGAAAGAAATCATTAAAAATATAGATGGTCATTAATCTATTTATTTGATATAAATATTAGTGGTAATCTTTTTTATATGGGCGGAGTTATTAGGCAGTTAGGATTAGCTCTGCTTTTTGTCAGACTAGATGTTGTCAGTGTAGGTTTGTTGTGAGATGTCCTGTTCTTGCATTCATAATTCTAACGTCCCAGTAAAAACTGTACCTGGAAATTTTATTTACCTGTGTTTCCTTAACAAGTGGTTACTGTTTTCAGCTATTCGAGTTTGCGGACAAATACAGGGGCAAATATGATAGCAGCATTACTGTGGCCCAGAAGTACTACCGATCTGTCAGTGGATACGCAGTACGTGCTTGATTCCAACTCTTCTCCTTTTGCATTGCATCAAGAAATTTAAGCTCTCTTTGTTTTGAATTGTTGTACATTTTGTCATTATCGCAAAAATAATTTTCGGTTCTTTTACAAATTTGATTTTAACAGGATGAATTACTGTGGGCCGCGGCATGGCTGTACAAGGCATCCAACAAAGAATATTACTTGAACTACCTAGGGGAGAATGGGGATGCACTTGGTGGAACTGGTTGGTCCATGACTGAATTTGGCTGGGATGTCAAGTATGCTGGTGTCCAGACTCTTGCTGCTAAGGTCAACTCCCTAAATTAATCCTACTTTATTTCCTACTTTTATCCGATTTAGTAAACTATAAATTGGTCACAAGTCGTACTCATGACGAACATGACTATGGTAAAATCTTAATACAAGAATCGAAAGATTTTTAGAAAGCACACTCTGTTCCTTTAAGGCTTGTAAGCAGAAGATGATTTGCAACCTAAGTTTCTTCAGCAGATGACAGAATATTGTTTTATTAGGCAAATGATTAACCTATATGTGTATTATAATTGCAGTTCCTAATGCAAGGGAATGCTGGTAACCATGCACCTGTGTTTGAGAAGTACCAAGAAAAGGCTGAGAATTTTATGTGTGCATGTCTTGGGAAGGGTAACCAAAACATCCACAAGAGTCCAGGAGGTCTCATTTTCCGCCAGAGATGGAACAATATGCAATTTGTCACAAGTGCTTCTTTCCTTGCCACTGTCTACTCTGACTATTTAGCCTCTGCTAGAAAATCCCTCAAGTGTTCATCTGGCACTGTATTACCATCTGAGCTCCTCTCATTTGCCAAGTCACAGGTAAAGATGCATGCTAATATCGATAGAGGATTACTAGCCCGGACTCTTGGGCCACAAATATATCTCATTATTTCCAAATACTGAAGTACTCATCTACTAGATATGCGCTGTTTAAATTCTTATGCACGTATTTTCTTTTTAGGTTGACTACATTCTTGGAGATAACCCAAGAGCCACAAGTTACATGGTGGGATATGGAAACAACTACCCAAGACAAGTTCACCACAGAGGTTCTTCCATTGTTTCTGTAAAGAAGGATCCTTCTTTTGTTAGCTGCCGTGGAGGTTATGCCACTTGGTTTAGTAGAAAGGCGAGTGATCCCAATCTTCTAGCTGGAGCCATTGTTGGTGGACCTGATGCCTATGACAACTTTGCTGATCAGAGAGACAACTATGAGCAAACTGAACCAGCCACCTACAACAATGCTCCTTTGATTGGTGTGTTAGCAAGACTTCATGGTGGTCAAAGTAAATATAGTCAGCTCCTTCCAGGTATTCTTGGTTAATTGACATTCTTCCTCACAATGCAAATTAACCCCTCATTTTAGCCCAAGCAAGCAATGAGGTTGCTGATAAAGTTGCCTCCATGTGACCAGAAGGTCACGGTTTTCGAACCGTGGAAACAACCTCTTGCAGAAATATAGGGTAAGACTGTGTACGATAGACTCTTGTGGTCCGACTTTTCCTCGGACCCCGTGCATAGCGGGAGCTTAGTGTACGCCCTTTTTTTAGGCCAAGCAAACGTTGGGCGAGTTGGGTCGTGACCCGTTTATTGATTTGACCTGCTTTAACCTGCTCAAATTTGACCCCAACTCTCCCATTTGCTACTTTTGTTTATAAGTAAGCTTTTGAAGCTGTGTTGCTAACAAAGAGTTTTCCTTTGCTACTTACAGTTGCTATCCCTCAGCCAAAGCCAGATCCAGAGCAAAAAGTAACTCCAGCCCCAGGTACTTTAACTAGCTAGTTCTTCTTTTGACAGTGTTTAGTTAAAATTACTTGTGCAAATAATTGTAGCCATAACAATATATGGAGAGAAATCTAAAATGGAATATATCTGCAGCTTCATCAACTGCTGACATTACTATTGAACAAAAGGAAACAGCTTCATGGGTTCACAAGGGGAAAACTTACTACAGATACTCAGTAATAGTAACTAACAAATCTGCTATGACAATGAAGAATTTGAAACTCTCAATATACCAACTCTATGGTTCTCTCTGGGGTCTTTCAAAATATGGTGACTCCTACGTATTCCCGGCCTGGCTCAACTCTTTACCAGCTGGAAAAACCCTCGAGTTTGTGTACGTTCACTCTGCTTCTCCTGCAACGGTCTCCATATCAAGCTACACTCTTGTCTAAAACCCAAAAGACGACGTGAATCTACAAAGAATGAATCATCAACTCTGGGGTCTTAATGTAAGAATTGTGCAGTTGTTTGTAACTTTTCAACTTCTTGGTTTGTAGTTTGAGTTATTAGGTGTTTAGCTATTGAAGTGTAGGTTAAATAAAGGCGGATATCTGGAGGAAGAAAGGAGCGAAGAGACGAATTAGAACAAGTGCTCATCCTCTTTCTTCTCCACTTCATTTTGTCACATTATAGCATAGTATTGAGAAAAGAGTGAGGGGCTGAGAAATTAAGAAGGTTGCTTCTCAACAGAAATGTGAAGTTGATCTTCATTTTGTAATTTATGCAATTTCAAGGTTTTCATATGTTTATATTTTCTCAAATATGCCTTCAATGGATAGTTACATTAGGATTATTGCCTTTTTAACAGCTTGCAATAAAGCAGCGCTAGTACTCCTATATTCTAGGTAGAGTATACAATTACCCTCTTAACTCGACCCTCACGACTAGAGGCAGAGCCGCGATAACGGTAATTTCAAATGTTAATAATTGAATTCTAAGTTTAATATTTATATATATTTAGTAAATTTATTGACACAAATACATGGTTTAAGCAAATATTATTGAGTTCGCCCGAATCCCGTAGCCGGACTACTAGCTCTGCCCTTGCTCAAGACATGTCAAACTGGAATTATTATCAATAGACTAGCGGATTCAGAATTTTGAGCGCTGAACACTGGCCAAAACTGTATTACTTGATCCTAGATATCTCAAAGGTACACTCCCATGTGTTCTTAAAATTATGTCGTCCAATCTCATAACATGATCATCCATTTATACCAAAAAGAATTAGAAAAAATAAAATACAAAAAGTAATACTAACATTTTATAAAACACTTACCAAATTGAACAGACTCTTTTAGAGGATATCCCTTATTAGTCCGTTCCAAAAAGAATGACACATTTCTATAATTGGAAATAATTTAATTTTAAATTTTTTAATTTTACTCATTTTACCCTTAATGAAAAGTTTTTATAATTACACAAATGTCATGGCCCCACAAAGTTTTTACTCCTTAACCTTTTAAGACCACAAGTTTCAAAAGTCTCCCTCTTTATTGTTAGCACTAATAGTGATTTGATTTTGCTTTGGGCTTTTTTTGAGTTAATAACTTTTATGGGCTATAAAACATATTTGATCATTCAAAAATTCTAATTCCAACCTTGAAATAATATATTTAAAGAAGAACTATGATTTCTTTTTAAAAATATTTATAAATTACATTACAATAATTATTTTTATGTATAAAATATTTTTAAAATTTGTATACATGTAATATCAGGTTGGTTTGATTTCGGTTTGACTTTTTTTTAGTTAAAACCAAACCAAACCAATTATGGTCAGGTCTTTTTTTCTAACACCAAACCATAGTCGGATTTTTTTTTCTCGGTTTGACTCGTATTATCGATTTGGTGCGGTTTATCGGTTCCCTTTGTACAGCCTTACTTCTATACCTTTCACTTGATACACTAAGTAAATTAAAATAAATTGAAGTGGAATAATAAAAATTAAAAGTGATTATGTATATGATTTTTAAAAAAAATGCAAAATAGCTTATAATTTCAAAATGCAATAAAAGATTATTACTAGTCATTAATATATTGTATCAAATATTTTGTGTTCATTTCACATTTAAAAGTTTGGAAGATATACATGTTTCAAACAAGTTTCTTTTATCTTTTTTTTTAATCTAAACTGCAAACAAAAATTTTCAATAAAAATGTTTATTCTCTTTCTTAAATTTCATAAAATTCAAATTCTTAAGATCCTTCTACTTGTAATATTAATTTGTCATTTAATTAATTAAAATATTTTAATATACTTAATTCTGGATATACCTTATGTTTTTTAAAACTGTGGGACCAGACATCATATAACTCAACAACTTGTCCAATTATAATTTCTCATCATAATATTCCTTCTCGAAGATGGCTGTCTGTATTATGTCAAACCACTTTTCAAGAACACGGGGAACTTTTCTCCTCCTCCATCTCCGTTCTCTCTGCATAATTTCGTCTGATCAAATATCAATACCGAATAAGTTCAGGTACTTTCTCTTCCTTCGAGAATACAGTTGTTTTGAAGTGAATTAGGGCGTTTTTTTGTACAGGTAAGATTAAAATTTTGAGTTTTGAAGTTCTTTAGGCCTTTCATTTATGCAGATAATTAACACTATTAAGTAAAGGCGTTATTATTAAGCTTTGCTGGAAGTTGATCTTCTACTCTCTGTTGATCTGATAGGTATTTGAGCTTGTGCATCTTATCCGGAATTACTTCAAGTTTATGTTCTGCGTTTTAAGTTTTTATTTCCCTTCAGAATATGACTTTTTTTCCTTTTCCTGGTTAATCTGGAATGAATTTATTGGATAACGTTTGTGGAGCTTAACTTATATACACTGTCAGGTCACCTAGGATTTGTAATCTTGAGAATAAGACAAGTTACCTGCTACAATAAGTCAATTTAGTCTTACAGTGTAAAATGGTACAACCCACGGAGAACCACACCCCAAAAGCTAGCTCTTGAGGTGGGAGAGTCCAAGGCAATATAAACCCCACATAAGCATATTGCAATACCGATGTAGCATTCAAGTCACATACCTTGCAATGGACCATAACAAACCACCACGCTCCGCATTCGTCGTCCTCGATGGATCCACATTGGGTAGCTTTCACTCTAACACAAGTAGGTAGCCTTACGCAGGTAGCCGTTTTCGAGTCAGGTGCCTAGGCACCGTCGGCTAGCTGTGCGCTAGACATTTCTTGCCCCAAGCAAACACTGCAATATCGGCGTCACCATCCACTACACATGGGCACAGAGGGTGGTGGGTGCCTTTGAGACCATTGAGACAACCCAGGTAGAACCACACCCCAAAAGCTAGCTATTGAGGTGGGAGAGCCCAAGGCTATATAAACCTCACATCAGCACATTGCAATACTGATGTGGGACTCAAGTCCCATAACTTGCAATGGACCATAACATAAAAGTTCTTTACACTGTCCATGTATGTAATTTAAACTCATGTTTGTGTTACTGGAACTTAGTGGCACTTTTACTCACCTTAGTAGTAAGGAGCTGCTACTTCTAGCGGGCAGTGTACTAGTGAATAGGACAAGTGAATTGAGATTGCTGATGACTGATGGAGGTCGAGGATAGAACATGTTGTGTATCTCACCCTTGTCTCCTTTTGCATATTATCATACTGTATTCATAATGAGATATCAGTCAATGATTCGGGCTTCTTTTGATTACCCTTATAGGACTCTTGATTTTAGGTGCTACTCCGTGTACTCTTGGAGTTTTTGATTTGAATAAAGAAGTTGAGCCATGCATGTATTCACTCCTAGAAGTGGCTTTCTCCACAAGGGAAATAAGTGATCTTGGTTTAAGTGTTTTCAAGATGCTAACATACCCTTTTTCTATCTGGATAGCAGTCTTAATTAATGCGGAATGTGATTTCAAAATGGGTATTTTCACTTCCTTCAAATGGTGTTGAAAGTCTTGATGTTACCTGAATCTCGTCATGGTAGCCTGGTCGGATGGACAATGGTAATAGATAATAAACTTGAAACCTTATGTAAAAGGGTTTGGAAAAGGAAGAAAGAGGTAAGATAGGAAAATGAGGCAAACCTGCAGTTATTTGAGTCATGATCTCAATACACTGCCGATGACATGAATCCAGGAATACTAGCTTTGGGCCATAAATTTTCACAGATGAGGTCCTTTGAGACTGATATGAATAAAACTCATCATATTAGTACAAAGTGCATTTTATAGTAAAAAGCAGAAGTACCTAAGCCATAAAGTGCAAAAAAGTGCTAGGGGCAATATTGAGACCAAATGGCGTCACTAGCCATGAGTACACCTTTTAAACTTAATATTCTATCCATCTCAAGTCTGGTTTTAAGTGGATGTTCATTTGCTGAATCATCTTTAAAATTTTAAGAAACCTGTCATCCTAATTTCCAGAATTTTCCTCCGTAATTGAGGTTGGAAATAATTGTTTGACTATTTCTTTATTAATGGCTTGACTACCAACATATACTTGAGCTTCCACTTTTTGGAGTCAACTAAGTGATTGTGTGACATAATATCCAAGATATATTGTGCGTACCGATATCAAAAACATCAACTTCCTACTATTGTGTCAGACCTTGTTGGGGAAAGAGAATCTTCTGGCCCCTCTTCATACCCTGTTAAAGATAACATCAATCTTCTCTAGTCAAAGCTTGCATGATAACACCCAGAAGAGCTTAAAAGCTTTATATCGGAGATATGATCTGCAAATCGCGAAAGTTTTCTGTCGTAAGATATGATCTGCAAATCGCGAAAGACTTGCCACCAGACCTTTGTAGAAAGTGATTTCATTATGATACAACAACTGTCATTCTTCTACATCTTTAAAGGTAATTGGCAACAATCATAAATAGTATATTTTCCACTGTGAAGTTGGGATCTGTGAGTTGGGAATGCTGATTATACTTGCTAATTCTGGTTTCACTTAATTCCAGTTTCAGGTTTGCTGGCAAACATAAACAGCATGGGTGATGGTCCTCGAGGAATAGAGGTGTTTGAAGATCATTTTCAAGCTTCAACATCTGGTGAAGACTCTGTACAAAGCCCATCCTTATCTAAATATATAGAGAGTAATGATTCTTTGAGGTATATCTTCTAAAAGGCATCAGAGGTGAATAAGAGTTACATATTTGTAAAGGAATTCACTTATTTTTATTTGTTTTATTCGGCTTCTCCTGTATTAGAATAGATCCATTAGTAGATCGTGGACTAGAAGAAAATTGAAAGGTGCTGCTTCAGTGTTGAATTTGTTTAGCCTCAGCAAGCTAACTTGGATGTCTGGCGCAGATGGTCAAGAAAAGGTACATATTATTTAAAGTTATCCTCTAACTGTCTAGCTTGCATTTTCCTACTTAATTGTTCTGAAGGTCATCATTATCTTTGGGGTGGTGAAGAGAAAGATTACAGATATTATCATGCCTTGCAGGTAGTATTAACTGCTGCAGAAGTAGAATCTCTTCGGTCAGAAATCACTGCTTTGGAAGAAAGAGAAGCACATTTAAAAGCTCAGTAAGATTTGATACCTCCATTTTGGGCTCTCTCATGCCTTATGCAACCCATGCTGTTTTTCCTTAAACATAACCGTGTGTAGGGTTGTTTTCCCTTTGATGGTATTGTGCTTTTGTTTTCTTATTGTTTCCCAGGCATTTAGCAAGTTGGTGTGGTTACAATTATTTCTAGATAATAGTACTTTACCTTAAAAAAAAATACTTATTTATAGATTATATGGTTACAACAGTTCATCATTCACCGTGTTCAATCCCTAATGCTTGTGAGGCTCCTCTTCAATCATCATGGGCGATCACTGTGAATATCATTTTGAGAATTCAAAAGCATAAAAACTCATCTCATTTTTAAGTGTATCATCAGTGTAATATTAACATGTTCACAAATTTAAATCTTTTCAACTTCTAACAGAAGTGAACCCAAGGATTTGAGTCAAACCGCCCCTGGCTTTGGTTCAACGGCAAAAGTAGTATGGCAAGGATGTATAATAGGTTCAGGTCACGAGTTCGCATTCTGCTGCTGAACCAAGTCTGGTGTTTAAGTGCAGAGGGGTAGAGGGATGACCCCATTATCCACTGAGTTTCAAAGCGAGAAACAAGGGATATCTCGGTTAATGAAAGCAATAGAATTGGGTTAAAAACATGAAAATTTGTTGCAGTTTTCACTTTCCTTTCAAACAAAGAATTTGTTAAAGGTAGAGCAATGATGAGTATCTGATGGCAAAGCTGCTTAATGTATCTCCAAGACTCCAACTCCTACATGGGTTCCGAATGTCCTATTATGAAACACTTTTATAAGAGGAATCAGTAGAAGGTGCTGCATCAAACATGGGTACAAAGACCTAGCAAGAGCAATTGAGTGGACAGATCAAAATCCAATACAGAAATTGGAGCCAGAGATGTGAATTGAATGTACTTTAGAATAAAGGTCTCCTCACTGTGATGGGTCCCTGATTCTAAAACAAGGAAACACAAATTGCAATTGAAAACATGACTGTTTTACTTTAAGCGTTTTTGTCATTTATAGGCATAGGGAAATCCATATCAAATTTCACTTGTAGAAATTTTATATAGCATGACTGGCTTTCCCAGAAAATGAGAAGACCTGATTTATCTATGTAATACCTTCTCTAAACAGCCTCCAAAATCCCTTATTGTTATGCTACTATCACCTAATAACGAATGAAACTTTATATAAACAGTTGAGAATGGAGTCCAAGTCCCAGTTGAAGAAAAATGAGGGATCTTCTTTCGTGAAAAATGTGAAGTACTGTTCAAGGATAACCAATTAGTCCTACAGAACATCACAACTAACTAATGTTACAGAGAGGAAAAGAGACTTCAGTAAAAGTAATGACTACTCCGTCAAAAGAGTATTGTCTTTTTGATTTTCATTATTTTTCTCTTCACAGATTAGAACACATTGATGAAGTAGTACGGGCTGCACGACTTTCGGGCTATTTGGACATGAGAATGGTATTAAAGAGCCAGCAGCTATCGTCATCTTAACACTGTTTGGATTTCAGACAATACTTCATCGAATTTACATTTTTTGTTCCGCAATTTTATTCTGCCTTTTTTTGATAGAGATGGGCAACTTTACCTGGAGAACCTCTTCCTGTTGATGACACTGATGTTGATGATTGGCTTCCGAGATTTTTTGTCCTTCAGGGATCGTGTATCTTCTGGTATTCGTCAAGCACTGGTAATTTTTTCAACAGTTTAAGTGTCTGCTGGCATGCATTTCTTGATACTCTCCAACTACTGTGTAAACATGTTATTCCAAGCTTTTAATGGTGTACTATCACACTGTATTTTTTTACCAGCCCCTCTATTAGACAGCTTTTGAATTTTGCATCATATGAAGAATTTTTCAACCATTTATTTAGATGGCCAGATAATCCTTAGATGACGTCTTAGAAGTTTTTGCCGATTTATTGGTATTTATTACAATCTAATGGACCACCTTGAATTTTTTGGTATCTCCTAGATGTTATTTTTAAGTCAAGTTTAACTGGTTTGAGATATTAGGGACTAGAGATGTCATTTTTTTAGTATGTTACTATCCTTACCATTCACAACCTCAAAAATCCTCCAGCTCACCCACACCTCGCAAGCAGGTGGGTGAAATATTCATATATTAGGTCAACAATGTTTCAAGCTCAATTAAACATTTTGCCAAATAGACCAATAAATGGGGAGTGTAACAGAACAGCAAAAAATGGTAGAAGGCAGTATATGGCTGGGGATGGTGAAAAAATCTGAAAGAAGAATGGCAGACTCGACAAACCTATCTTTTGGAGCGGGGCTAGATGGCTAGTCCTTATAAACAGGGTGCTAGACTCACTACTAACAAATGTATGTCACTATTTCCTATGTCAGTTAAGGAAGAGAGATGTAAAGTGGAATATCTACATGATGCTGAAACCTTGGTGGATTACATAGATTCCATATACAACTCGAAGGGGATATACTTTTGCCTTTTAGATGTACAAATTACAGCACCATCTTAGTGCTATATGTCATTAAAAATTTCCTTTACTTGATGATAAAAAGAGTTTATGTACCTAATAATAGGGAGATGAAAATGATACAAAATTATACAAATAAGGGGGATCAAAATATTAAAGTTTGTGGCTGTTGTGGAAGTGAGCTTAGTTTGGTTTTAGTTTGATTCAGAACAAAAGAAAGTGCTTTTGCTTTGTAGAGGTGTTTTCTTCTATTTCGCTGAGAACAAAAGTGTTTTCACAAGAACTTAAAATAAAAAAATAAAAAGAAATGTTGTTTTAGAAAGCTTTTTTTTTTTTAAAGAACCTTTGGGCGAAGCATGGCCTTAATTTCCGTTTCTAACCCTCCACCTCTGCTACTGCAGATAGAGCAGGGGCAAACACCTGTAGTTGGAGTAGTAATTACATTATCTATATGGAATAGCTCAATCTTGAAATACCTCACCTTACAGTGGCATATCTCTTGTTTCTTGACGATCTGTTATGTGTTCCTGTTATCTTTTCTTGATTTAATGGCGTAGCTTTGTTTATATTAATTTCATTCAAAATGCTTCCAATGTTCAGCTGCAGTATGTATTTTATATCCTTGGGGTTTATCTTCCTAAATTAATTCTGATACTGTCCTAACTCCTATTCTATTTTGATGAATTTGTCTGATGTTTCCCAATGCTACGAAGATGTTAGTTCCTGATTAAATTTGAATAAGCATGTCGCAGATCTAGGCCCCCAAGATTCAACCCTTCTATCAGATATCATTGAAGTTGGAACCTTACCTTGCCTGATACGAGACAATGAGGACAAACGATATTGCTTTTATATCTCAACTCGTTATGGACTGAGATATGAATGCTCTAGTATATCTAAGATAAAGGTAATGGTTTTTTCTGGATCCTTTATTGTTAGTAACCATTCTGATCTCTATCTTGAATTGTTGGGCTTGATGAGTAAGATTAAGTCCCCGACTTGGTGACATTTGGAATTTGAGAGCATTTTTTAATGGACCCGCTTTGGATGTTTACTTTGTTTCTACCCACCAAGTGCCTCTCAGATTGGGGAATCTTAGTAGTCCACATGAACTTTCACCTTGTTGGTGAGGGTTCGATTCCCAGCCTTGTAATCCCTCCTCCATTTCCCCTTTCCCTCTCCCCTAGGCATAATAATTATTTTATTAGAAAAAAGTGTCTATCGGATAATCTTGAGAGTATAACTTGTTCACTTTTCTTGACATAGATTTGTAAAATATCACAATAGTAATCCATCATTTGTCCCATCTCAAATAAGGTAACTATCATCTGATGTATATATTACAAACATAACCAATCCTTTTTCATCTTCCATTTGCATGCTCTGTATGTTTTTTTTTCCTTTTCAGGTTGATTCCTGGTTGGAAGCATTACAGACTGATTGCAAGCTGTGATCTGGTTGTACAACATTTCATCAGTTGACTAGGAATTGACATCATGATCTGCCATTGGCAGCAACAAACTCTAAACAAGCCAGATTTGGAAGCAAAAACATATACTATCATGTTTTCAAAGTTGGGCTGCAACTTTTTAGTGCTTACCTAGTGCATTCTGTACATAGTCTAGCATACAGCCGTTGTACAGTATTGAAGTTACATTTCAATAAATACATATCAACATATGCCTAAGAAGGATTAGCTGCAGACTGATCTTGTCATGCACAACTTTAAGCTTGGTATCTACAAAAAGAGAGAGCTTCCTGGCTCTCTGTAGGCAAGGCATTCTCAAATCATATAAGTTTAATACTTGTTTAACTATGGAGAAAAGATGAAAGAAGCATGTCCAAATGCAAATATTAATATGGTTGTGAATGAGGTAAACCTTTTTCATAACCAATTTCTGGAACATATCTTAACGAGGTACGATATTAGCTTCCGTTCTTCATTCTTTTGAGTTGGTATTTGATCAGAAGTAGGAGGTTCCAAGCGACTTCTAAAATGCATGTTGATGAGCATATTGGTTGATGTTCTTGTTGCAAGTTGGTGTCTCCTAATTAAGTAGGTGTATAGAGTAATACAGTCAGACTTCTCTATAATAACATCCATATATAACAATACTTTTCTATAAAAGCCAAGCTTTTTTGCAACCAATTTTTATGTTATGTTATAATATATGTTCTCTATAACAACACTTCGCTATAACATTCAAAAATATTCGGACAGACGAGGCTGTTATAGAGAGATTTGACTGTAATAATGTAATATGACCCATTCAGTGCTATCTAAAACTACAAGCAGGTGTATCCGGTGAGAGGATAAAAAGTAGGGTGAATTATGATGAGGTCGAGAATCAAGATATCCCATTATTAACAGTAAACAAAAACCAGTCAAATATGATTAATCCAAACTATTCCTTTGTCAACTTTGGACCAAAACAATATTGATTTCAAGAATCACAATCTGTTAACTCCACCAAAAATAAGCCATTTATACTTCGTCCATTATTTCTCAATGGGTTATACGAAATTGGTATATGTTAACAAAAATTTCAAAGGCCAAGACCTAGCTTGACATTCTAGTGCGTGTCCATTTAGAATATTGTAAGAGCAAACAGCAGTGACCCTTTTGGACAACTTCCGACGTAGTAATTCCTTCGATAATAGCTCTAAATCATTGATCCTATCAATTTGTTGAATCAATACTCTATGAATCAAGTTTCATAGCATGCAGTTGAATCTAGAGACGAATATGACGAAATCTAGAAGAAGAAATGAAGAGAAGAGACAAAGAGAAAATGAGCATTTTTGCTTCAGCGGAAGAAGAAGAATGAATACAAAATTACAATTCTGGAGAGCACTGTTCTCTTTAACAGAATCACGTGCTCTTCACCCTCTCTAACAATATGACCCTCAAAGTTCTTTTGTCTACACTTAGGTCCCTCAATTAGTTTCTTCACTAACTAAGAACCAACTATATCGAATGTTCTTGATACTCCCCCTCAAACTGGAGAATGAAAAGCATCGAACATTCCCAGTTCGGACATTAACATTTGATGTTGAGCTACACCAAGGCCCTTGGTCATCATGTCTGCTACATGTTCTCTTGTAGAGATGTAATGAGTGGATATCATTCCATTTTTGATCTTCTCCCTCACAAAATGGCAATCAATCTCTATATATTTTGTCCGCTCATGATAGATTGAATTTGCAGTTATTTGTAGAGCTATTTTGCTATCACAAAAAACCTTTACTGGCATCTGTAAGGACACATCAAATTCCTTCACCAATCCAACTAGCCATACTAATTATGCACTAGCAGTTGCCATGCTTTTATACTCTGCTTCTGCAGAACTTCTACTTATTGTCTGTAGCTTCTTGGACTTTCAAGAAATCAGTGATCCAAGCTTGATGACATAGCCTGTCACTGATCTTCTGGTGTTTGGGCAGGATGCCCAGTCAAAATCACAATAGGCTGAAATCTCTTCTAATGATCCCTTCTTCAATAATATTCATTTTCCTGGTGACCCTTTTATATACTTCACCACTCTTATAGATGCCTCTAAGTATGATTGCTTTGGATGTTGCATAAATTGACTTAGGACCTGTACTGCAAAGTAGATATCAGGCCTGGTTATGGTCAAATAGATCAACTTCCCAATCAACTTCTGATAGCCTCCAATATATGTCAGCTCTCTTCTCCTTTGAGTCCTATATGCTTATCATAGTCAATAGTAGTAAGCTTTTGATTTTGCTCAAGAGGTGAACTTGCAGGCTTTGCACCACTGAGTCCCAATTCAGATATAAGCTCAAGTGCATACTTTCTTTGATTCAGTAGTATGACTTTATGTGATCTCATGATTTCAATTCCCAAAAAATACCTTAGTTCTCCCTAAGTCTTTGAGTTTGAAAGACTTATGTAAGGTCCTTTTAACTTCATCTATCATATCACTGCTGCTCCCAGTAATCATCAAGTCATTCACATATACTAAAACGATCACCAAGTCTGCTCCTGACTTCTTTGTGAACAAGAAATGATCATAGGCACTTAAATGTATCCTGCCTCAGTAAGAGCATTAGTCATCTTTATATTCTACTGCCTTGATGCCTGCTTGAGTCCATAAAGAGACTTAAGTAACTTGCAAACCTGAGACTCCCCCTGTCTATGAAATCCTTGTGACAAAGTCATGTATACCTCCTCATAAAGATCACCCTGCAGAAATGCATTGTTTACATCTATTTGGAATAATTTCCAACCTTTAGAGGCTGCAAGGCTAATCACAGTCCTCACTGTGACCATTTTTGCAACAGGGAAAAAGGTCTCATGGTAATCAAGACCTTCATGTTGTGTATATCCCTTAGCCACTAAGCGTGTCTTGAACCTGTCAACCTCATCATTTACCTTGTATTTGATTTTGTACACCCACTTTGAGCCAATTGCTTTCTTTTCTGGTGGCAACTCTACAATCTCCCAAGTTTTGTTAGCTTCAAGTGCCTAAATTTCTTCTTGCATAGCTTTAATCCATCTTTCATCTGTAGAGGCTTCATAGAAAGTCTTTGGTTCTGTGAGGGCAGAGAAACTGGTCAGGTATGCTTGGTAGTGTTCTGGAAAATGTGTGTAGGTAACATAATTGGAGATTGGATAGGCAATGTGTCCTGATGTCTTCCGGCTAGTAACATAGTCTTTGAGCCAAATTGTTGGTTTTGTGCCTTTGGTGGATTTTCTAAGGATAGGAGCTTCTGCATTGTTAGCAGGTTCAAATGACTGCAATTGTTGAGTTGATGCTTGTTGTTCTGGCAAATCTGCTTCAGTTTCCTCTATAATGGCTAGAGGTTCAGCTACAACATCTTCTGATGCATTTGGAATATCTGCATTTACTCCTGCTGAATCATCCAAATCTGCATCTGATGATTCTGCAGGGATTGCCTCTTCCTCCATAATTCTATTGCTTAAGTCTTCCTGATTTGCAGCAGGAACGTCATCACCATATGTTCTTGGTACATTAGTGTTCATGTCTACTGGTGCAAGAATGAACAAATCTTCTTGACAAGCTTCTTCACCTTGAAAAGGAAAAACATCTTCTCTAAAGGTTACATCATTGCTGACAAAGAAAATGTTAGATTCTAAATCAAATAGTTTGTAACCCTTTTGTGTCTCTGAATACCCTATCATTACTGCCCTTCTTGCTCTAGGAGCAAACTTATCTCCTCTAGGTAGGGTACTGGCATAACATAAACAACCAAATACTCTTAAATGGTCTATACTTGGTTGTTTACCATATAGCAATTCATAGGGAGATCTTTTATTTAAGACCTGTGTGGGTATCTTGTTGATTAGATATACTGCTGTTCTAACACATTCTCCCCAGAATCTGACTGGCATATTACTTTGAATCTTGAGTGCTCTAGCCACATCCAGGATGTGCCTCTGTTTCCTTTCCACTACTCCATTCTGTGGAGTATATGGACAACTGCTTTGATGCACAATCCCAAGTGAATTGAACAACTCACTACACTGATTGTTGAAAAACTTTGTGCCATTGTCTGTTCTCAATTTCTTAACCATTACACCAAACTAATTTTTTTACCAAAGAGAGGAAATCTTTCAATACAACAAAAACTTCACATTTTGATTTCAGCAAACAAGTCCAGGTATATCTACTACAGTCATCAACCAAAGTGACAAAATATTATTTTCTATCATAGGTTGCTACCTTGTAAGGACCCCATACATCAGCATGTACTAATTGAAACACACAATTTGAACTATTATTACTTATAGGAAAGTTCAGTCTACTTTGTTTAGCTAAGGGGCAAATCTGGCAATCCTTTTGCATCTCTAGCTTCACTTTATTCTTCAAATCCGGCAAGTGTTGCATGGCTTGTGTAGAGGCATATCCTAGCCTTTGATGCCACAGTGTGGTTGTTACTCCTTCTTTGTGAAATGAACCAGCAGTAACAACATCTCCTCTACTAAATATATAAAGTCCATTACCTTCTTTACCAATCCCCAGCACCCTGCCACTGTATAATCCCTGAAATACATAGAAATCAGGGAAAAACATGCAGAGCAACATAGGTCCTTAGTCAGCTGGACACTGAGAGCAAGCTGAACTTAAAGTTTGGCACATATAAAACATTCTTAATTTTCTGATTCTCTAGGATTGAAGTATCTCCAGCATGTGTGATTTTAGATCTATCTCTTATAGGTGTTTGCACTCCATAACTACTTTGTCCCTCTATAGGTCTAATGAAATCCAATACATTTTTGCAAAATATTATGTGGTGTGATGATCCTGAATCTATTATCCAATCATATACACATACATTGGATACATCAGACATCAATGACATAATACCTGTCTTGTTTGAAGATCCTGTCAACTCTGATGGTCATGCACTCCTTTCTTCTAGTGAAGTTTTCTCTAATAGGTTTACCAGTTATTTGTACTGTTCTACTGTGAGATAGTTTCCTTGTGGTTGATTTCTGGTTTCAATACCTGCACTTGTATTAGCATTATTAGCAAAAGGTTTATATGTACCTAGTTGACTTTTCTTCTTGCTTTTGAAATCTAGAGGATAACCTATTATTTTGTAGCAGTTCTCCTTCAAGTGGCCTTTATAACCACAATGCTCACAAATTAGCCCTAGTTTCTTGCCTTTGTACATCTGACCCTTCCTGCAAGCATTGTGAGTGGTTCCTTGTTTGA